GTAAATGATTTTGAGAGCACACATTTGTGGCGTGGTTAGAATCCTTTCCAGTTTGCAGGGACTAATTTTCTTGCCATTCGAATTTGCTATTTCTTTTTTCTCTAATTTTCGAAAAATTGAAAGAATAACTTACCATTACCGAACTTCTACTAACTAGCGAAATGTTTTGACTATGCAGACGATAAACTGAAAAGGAGAATCCACGTCGGTAAACTGCAAGAAAAGGCAACTGCTTATGTGCAAAATGTTGCTTCTCCTTTTTTATTTAAAAATCGATGATATAACTTGGTAACATTATAAACAAGTAATTTGAATAACAATCCATCCCCAATTTATTCTGAATTAAAGTGTAAATATACTGATTTTCTATTGCTAAATATCATTTAGCCTGTTTTTCTATCACTTTACAGGTATCTCATCACTGAGAATAATCACCCGAAAAAAATCTATTTACAGGAGACAAAGTAAATCAGTTTACAAAATTCATCATTCTGGTTTTGATTATCTTTTTCTACAATTCTAACAATTTGCTGAAATCACGTTACAAATTGATATCGCTCTGACAAAAGAAAACCGATAGATTTCTTTCATTTAAAGGTAAAATAGCGCGCGTGAGAGAATGTCCGGGCATATTTTCTCGTTTTCCCACGAGAACAAATGCGGTAGCTTGTCTCAAGACGTTAAAAGGTCAAACTATTACCAGTTGATGGACATTAATATTTTGCTTGGCGACACGGCCGTTAAAAAATATTAATACCTACGATTTGTAGACTTAGAAGAATGGTTAACTAGCCTATTCAGATATGAAGCCTTAGGAATACCACAATCGATGTTTTGTAGAAGTTTGTTCTTAAAAAATGTTTTGTTATGACAGATTTCACTGTTATTTTTTCCAGAGAGAAGTAAGGACAAGTTAAAGATTGAAAAAAGCGTTTATTTACATGATAGCTGTTTCCACATATGACGCTATTTAACCAATCGAAGAAACCCAAATATGTGACTTATATCAACGCTTGGAAAACATTAGTCGTGTCATTAGACATGACTTTAAAACACGATCTGCAAGTCACAGTGATGATGCGAATAAATTTAGAATGATATGGGAATAAGAACTTCCTTTCACTGATAAACTGCTCTGATTTGTGACCCTTCAAAGGGGACTGTTGCGTGACTACTTAAAACGTCGACGATTTTTCAATATTCTGGATTCCTGTGTTTCCCCCTCTTGCATGTGTCTAAGAATCCCCTTTGTGTCATTATCTGTGTCGATACAGGGCTTTAACTCTTACAACGACTTCCGCTCGAGTTACGCAGGAAAGACTGTCTCCTGACGTCTAAAAGTCATTCAGGACAGTATAATACGGATGATAAGGATGATAAGGTCACATGATAATCTGTAGCTCACGGTTTTAAACCTGCTTCTGTGATAACTTAAACAAGCCTAGTGATCTTCACAGAGAAATTTCAACGATGAAATATTAAAATGGAGGTGATCATGATTCAGTTTTACGATGACAGGTTAAGTTCAAGGCCATTAAACAAATGTCAGGAGGTAAAATTAATTGTATTGCCAAATATTGTCTATCACGACAACCTTTACAGGAGCGTAGCGTCCTCTACGCATATACGCACGTGCGTACCTGAAGTGACCAGAAAAATTTGAAAACAATGTTGTGTTTGCGCCAAGTTTGCTCAAAATAAGGGCAAGATGCTTTGTTCTTTGCTTGTATTCACACAACTTTTTCAAACAAGAAATAAAGAACACAGTATTTTTCGCTCAGTTTACTTAGGTTTCTAGATCATATGTACTTGTGCGTACTTGAAAAAATGACCACGCTACGCGCCTGCTTTACCCATTAAAGCAAATTGGATGTTACTGCTTTTAACATACTTTGACACACAAACATTTTAAGTTCACTAAGTTGGTAACTAATCCCCTCTTAATGTGTGTTGGCAGAGGAGCTTGGATTCAGTGTCGAAGGCTACGAGCTACTACTACACAAAATTTCGCTCAGGCTAATAGAGCGATTGTACTTCAATATTTTGAGTATTTTGAAAATCACGCGAAACAGGAACTTGGGATAGTACAGGTGCCAGAGGCTGGAACTCTTGGATCGAGTTGAAGAGGAATGACAATGTCATTGGAATATGCAAGGAAGACCAGTAGTGCAATTCCGCCTCAAAGTCTATCTTTAGTACATCATACTGACTTAAGAATCGAAGCTAGCGTGGGAACACTTGCGTTTTTCTAAACTAGGAATAAAAAAGATGAGGAGTTGAGTACTTCTCAAACTTGACATCCATTTTAATCCATTGAGAAAAATCTTATCGATTTCCAGCAGAAATTTCGAATATGAACATCAGGAGTGCACTCACTCATTTTTTCAAATCCTCGAGGACGTTTTCAAAAGCAAGTACTGAGAGCTACGCAAATTTATTGGAGGAAAAGTGACTGTCCACTAATGAAAAGCATTCGTGTCCCAGGAAGGACTTGAAGATGGCTGCTCTTATATTGTTTTGGTAAACAATATGTCCACTGTGTCGTCATCAGAGATTGATCTACAGATGGCAAATTTAAATTCTACTTGAAGGTGCTTGTCATTTCTAAATTCAACACGAAGTCATGGTATATTCACATTATTTGTTTACATCATTACAACCTGCCTGATATGAGTTTGGCTTTTTATGTGAGGTTAAAAAATGAGTAACTTAATGGTTGCCACCAGTTCTCCATCATGCCTCGGCACTTTTATCTTCTGCAACAGTTGTCCGTGAAAATATTCTTAATGTCCAGATTACCTTGCGTTTGGACGGCGTTGAACATTAGATTTCGTGTAAGATGTTTGACCTTAACCTAGAAAATAACAGTACTGTATTTTGCTTGTGCCCACTAGTTCCATACTAAAAACTAGTGACATATTGAAGTGACGCGGTTGTTGACACGGATATCCTTCTTTCATATTTCTAAATGAAGTAATGACCAAATTGTAACAATACAGTTGTAGCGTCAGTTAGGCCGTGAGTCTTACGCTGTTAACGCACGTGCGACAGCGTGTGCGTAACTTCGGAGTCAGAGTTATTGTTTCTTTTTGTTGATTTTTCTATTTTGCAGAGTGTGAAATTACTGCAGTTAAAATTTGTCAAGCAAGACAGTCATTAAAATGAAAAGGACTAAGAAATTTCAGACCAAAATGTAGCACGAATGAGTGAGTGTAGATGTTATTGACAGGATTGCCAGCCAATGATAAATCATAACACTTAGCCTAAATACAAAATATGACGTAGATCCTCTTACAAAAGATCTTCTAAAAATAGAATAAAATGGGAACTAATACTTCTTGACCTAGCTTAAGATAACCGCTATTTTGGTATCTGCAAATTTTTTACATTTATCACTGCGAGTTCAGTTTGATTTATAAAACTCCCCGACCAGAGAGAATAGAACTCGTGGCTAAGACCATGCTCTTGGTTTAGGTAACCAAACAAGCTTGATTATTGTTTTAGGTTGGTTCTGAAAAGGCGAGTATCAGCAATAATTGTCTCGCTTTCCAACTTTAAAATGGGGCCAAGAAAATAATTTTTGTTACTAAACGATTCATATTGCTTCGTTAAGAATTCAAAATACAACCCTTCAATAATATAAATCTGGCATTTATAAACTCAAACTGAGAAAGTAGCTCTCACAAAATTATTTTGGGATTTTCGTTCAGAACCCTGCTTTGTTTTAATTTGTTCATTCAGTCTTGTTAATAACACCTTGTAATTATATCAGTTATATAAAGCCTAAGACCGATATGGTAAAGAAATCATGTTCATACGAGTCAATTATTCGGTGGAATGCCCTGGAAAACCAAATGAGGTCTATTCGTGACATTGACGCTTTTAAAACAACCGTGAAGTGTGTTTTTAAGCCACATATATATTGTGATGATGTACAAGGATGTAGAATTTTATTTTAATTTTATAATTTTATTTTTGTGAATAAGCAGAATTTTACATTAGTCTTCCTGTGATTAGTTAGGAAGTTCAATTTTATTGTTATTTGCACGACCACATCAGCTTTGCTGTAGTTTTTAATCGTGTTTAAATAAATGCTAATATTATCATTCTTATTATTATTATTATATTTGTATTTAACTGTTGGAATTGCTTCCAACTTTATCTGTCTCTTCTATTCCTTGACTAGTGTTTTATTATACTTAATACATGAAAATAACTGACACTTTCTAAAAATATCGAAAATGGTTCTTAAAATTCTCTTATTGACTGAAAATAATTAAAAACAACGACTGAAAATAACTGTTCTTCAGTCCATATCGTTAATGCCTGGTGATTTCACTTTCGGTAGTATTTTGTGTAGTATTTAAAACAGGCTGAAATTATCAGTACTGAGTTTAATAACTTTGTCTCAAAGTAAGTGTAGTAACGTGAGGCTATTTCTAATCATCCAATCCTGTAACATAGCAAATGCTTGATAAATTAGGCTCAACTGAGCTGAACGAAATGTTAAACTTTTTACGACGAATTTTGTTCTCTGAAGCATGAAGTTCTTACAATTCAATTTCATTCCGTAAATTATGAGCAAATAAACAATGGTTGTTTTTTAAGATAATGTTTCTTTTTTCACTGAGTAGATAATCACGGTAAATTTGCTATCTTTAAGAGTTCCTAGAGCCGACTTTCCGAGCGTTGACCTTTCGCCAGAGCGAATGCTTTATTTACATTATTTTAACGATACGGAACTAGGTACCTTAAACCAAAGGTGTTTTAAGTAAAGTCGATCTATCCTGCATTACCATGACGCAAGCCAGTAAAAACATTCTAAATGTGGTAATATTGCTAGTTAAACGAAGCTGTATTGATCCTTGTGGGGACTTCGTTATTGTTTATGTGGCTTTTACAATTATCGATAGATATAGCACCTTTAGTACCCTCATATATTTTTAATATATGGAAGAATTTGTACCATATCTGATTGTGTCACAGGACGATAACACGACTTAAACGCCGGGATATTGTGAAAAACAAATCAGCGACCTTTTAGAAAGCTTGGAGTCTCTTTTATGGAAGTTTCTCGAAAAACAGTTTTTCATTTTCTTCGCAATTGGGGGACTGAGAATATTTTTCAGTTTTGATGTTCGTCGACTCTGGACTGTTCCGCTTTAGAATTAAGACGATACACCATCAAACACTCACACAAGGAATTAGAAGACCTCTTCAGAACGTAAATCCCCTGGACAAAGTTTACGATGTCAGAAAATCTAAGAAACGATTGCTGTAATGCATCTGACGTGGAGGATTTTTCCTTGGTGCCGTCAACCTGGCCTTTGGGAGTGGTAATTTTGACAAGCATTCTAATGATTGTTGTGAACATTGTAACTCTGGTTGGTAACTCTTTTGTTATCGTGGCTATGGCGAAGATTAATTCACTGAAAAGTATGGCGAACAATCAAGCAGTCATTTCTTTAGCGGTCGCTGATCTTTTGGTGGGTTTACTAGTTATGCCTTGCACAATCGACGGTTTGTTATCGGGAAAATGGCGATGTGGAGCTCTATGGGGAAAACTAAACGCGTTTGGCAACTTTTCTTTCTGTATTTCATCTATTATGCACTTAACATTGCTATCTTTCGACCGATATATCGCAGTTACTCGTCCCTTAGCTTACAGATCGATATTTACCAAAACAAGGGCACAATATGGTTGTCTTTTATTGTGGATTTATTCAACTTTGTGGGCTCTGCCGCCACTTTTTGGTGTAAGTTCTTACGAATGTTTTATTCCTTACATCGGAAAATGTCTAGAGAAAGATTGGCTTCAGAGCGAAGTAGCGGTCGTTTTTACCGTTGCAGTAGTTTGTGGAACATACGGGGCTGCCGTTTTAGTTATGTGCTTTGTCTACATGAAGATATTTTTGACGATTTTCAAACAGTCGAAAAAAATTTCTGTGACAATGGAACAAGTACGAAGTAACTTTGATTTTGCAGCGAGAACACGGGCCTCGATCAGGAAGGGAGCCTTAACAGTGCTCATTGTTATTGGAATCTATATGGTTTGTTGGTCACCTTTTTGTGTTCTTCTCTTTGTACAAATGGCCTGTGGCAAATCCACAGGAGGCCCAACGGCGGATCTAATAACAATGTTTATTGGCTTTGCAAATAGTGCTTGTAATCCCATCATATACAGCATACGATATAGAGCGTTTCGACAAACTGTAAAGCGTATATTTTTAAGAAATTATGACTGTTTACAATATTTCCTCAGCAGAAAGGAGCCAATTAATAACAGCATGCAAGCAATAACGGCCAATAAGATTTAGATCGTTCAGTGTAAATATTTTCATGGGAAATTAGACAGCATCACTTGGTATTGAGTCAGTTGTACACTTGCTCTTCGGTGGTATATTTGATTACTCTTAAGATTATCGTTCTCCGGATCTGAAGAATTCAACTGAGTTAGAGACACGCAATCAATCACAAAGTCTACTTTCAGCGAAGGTCGATCAAATAAGTAACATATAGTTTCGCGATTTTCGAGATGGCATGTCAGGGATGGAAATCCAATGGAAACTAAGCAACGCAGTCCTTAAACAAGAAAACGAATGAAAGTTAAACAATGATTTAGAAGAAAATAACTCGGAGCGCAATTAAGTTTTTGTGTTGATGTGACCAAGTTTTCAAAGGAAGGGCTGCGTATGTGTCGACATGAAATTGTGTCCAAGAGCATCAGAGACAAACTGCACATAAATTATCAAGAAGAATAAATCAGTTCGTCAAATACATTGGATAATGAGTTACTTGAGAGCAATCTTGTTATCAGTTCAAATATTTATAACAACAATATTAAAGACCAGACGCATACCAACTCATATTACGTGTGGGTGTTAGTTTTATTGAAAAACGTATTATAAGGAACAAAAGTCTAATATAAACTTGGCATACAGTTGAAAACAACTTAGTAAACATCCGTTCATAGTACCGTTTTTATATGACTACCGGTCTATAGCAGTTTTGTGTGAAATGTAAAAAAATGAGGTCACGTTTTCGTGTTCTAAGTCCACACACTCAGCGTGGTTTAAATAATTGGTGAATAATACTTTATCCTGACGTTTATCAGCATAACGCACATTTCTCTCGTGTTGCACGCTTGATCACGCGCGCGATGCTGATAACATTCCCGCGGCAAACCATGGTAATGGCGCGTTTTCTGCGTTGAACACCTGTGGTATTCGCGCACCCTAACTATGGCATTAATCAAACAGTGGCCTCATTCTTTCAGTCGTGTTCAGACTGATTGGATTGCATTTAGTTTTAAAACAGTAAAATAAAAACGGCTCCATGGATGCTAAGTTCTGGGTGTGATTGCTACAATTACAATAGCGACATGTTTTTACCAATTACATAACAATTGTAACGTCTGATGCAAACGTATTTGTTCTTTAATGTTAAAGAAATACCTTTAAAAAAATGTTATCAAGGTCTTTGTTATGGTTGTGCATGACAACTGATAGAAATGGAAAATCACAAATTCATGAAGTAAATCATTTTGCAAAAGCTCACACAGGACTGAGCTATAATGCAGATCACACCAGCTTAACTTACTCGCCAATGTTACAACTACAAACGAATTTCTAACATCTAATATTAATTATAAAACCTAAACTAGAATCACAATGATATCTCTGATTCTAAATACAGTAGAGACTTTCCCTTTTGGTCGGCTATGTGAAGCCTCTTTTTAATGAATAATGTTTTCTCTTGGTTGTGTTCGCACTAGCACCACCGATGAAAATGGATAATTCAATCTTGCTAATCTTTGTAAAATGTGAGACCAGCTAAAGAAAACCGCTTGGCATTTGAACAAAAATAAGTTTTGGTTCTTAAGAAATTTAATCTCTTTAATGGAATCGTACAAATCTTTTTTTCCACATATGAAGGAACGAAAAACTTCACAGTAAAAGAAATTTGTAAACTGCTGAAATGTGAATGTCTTTGGCTTATTTTTCATGAGTGAAAAATTAACCTCTGGAATTTTGGAGAACGTTTTATTTTTTCGTTCGCAGGAGTCGAACTTGCTTTGTTTAGTACAAGTGATGAGCCGAAAGATATCTTCCTTACAAATTGCGATGTTAGATTTTGTGTAAAATGTCCAAGTTTTTTTTATCAATGGAGAGTTTGACGACTTGAATTAAAGAGAGCTTAAACGAAAAGTTTATGATGAGGATACGTAAAGACGACAATGGTATAAAACAATCTTGATATAAAGAAAATGAACGTTAAAAAAATTTCTTATCAGGAAGTTGAAGTATATGTGGTTGACATAAACCATGATTTTAAAATATCGATGAAGTTGTTTGGATCCTTTTGCAAAGTACTTTCAAGCGGGCAGGTGTTGGCCGTTTATACATGTATGTACGATGTTTGCATACCGAAATCGCTGTTCACGTTATCTTCCTCAACAACTGTACTGTAACAAGTTCGGGCTACACATTCTAGTGGCATACACGAGGAATTAGATGACATAAAAAGCTATTCAAAGTAATCCACGAGGAAGTTTAAGTGTGAGTAAAACTGACGCATTTTTGGAATAAAAGTTGCTTAAAGAAGAAAGTGGATTTGAGATGTAAATTGTTCTTGGTGAAAAACCCGGCTAGGTTGTTAATAATCTTAAGAAGATAACAAAAATTAGAGAGAAAAAAAAATGCTAAAACTACACAAAGAGCGGACCAAGTGGTCTAAGAATATTTACCGGAAAAGGCTGAAAAGACTGGCCTATTGAATAAAACGTCGTTGTTTTTTCGAGAGCTTTCTATAGTCTTCGAAACTTCCTATTGGACCATACAAGCAAAATTTAGAAATTGATTTCTCTGACTTCACAGTTATTAATAACAACGGAATTATCTTTATCAATTGGCCAGTCTGTCAGTCAGTCCGCATTAGTGCATGGTAAAGACCCAAAGCCCTGAAGGAAGCATGGAATGTCATGGCTTATATCAACCTATACGTAGTAACTTTTCAAGTGTTTACTCTAATACATACAATCCTCCTCCAAGTTTGTGGCCAACTGATCGTTCGCATTTGGCTCCGACCAAAAGTTCTCACCCGATGAACTAGCAATATGCAGGCTCATCTTGGCCACCACGTGAGTGATAACAATAGATACCAGGCTCCCATCGGCTCTTCCCAGATAAAGAGTGACCTCATACGAAGGATACTCGCAGTTCCCGTTTTGGCTCTCCCTGAGATTGGGAAGAAATTTTCCTTGATAATCAAATACTTTAGTACGTTCCTCGCGAATGAGCTTTTTAGCGGCCTTTCTTCCGTTCGAATAGTAAACCTAAAGGAAAAAAAAAAGACATTTTAGCAAACGTAATAAAATCAAAAACAGAAGGCATTATTTATTACATGAGATAAACGAGATGTTTATCTTTAAAAGTGTTCATATTGGTCGTTGTCGCACACTTTCTATAAGCGCTAATACAACATAAAATAAAAGTGACACTGGGTGAACTTGCGGATATGCTGCGCTGAATATAATCACAGAATGCAGTGTTTGCACCAAAAGCCGCTGATCCTATGATTCCAAGAGACAGAACCGAGCCAACATCCCCTCAATCAGTCGGCAATCATCAGTAAGATGCATGCTCCTCACAGACTTCTAAAGCCATGGTGGCAAATTTACCATTTCAATTTTGTTGATATATCCAAATTATTTCGTTACTCCCACCGACGCAGCCCCAAGCAGTTTCTTTCGAAACTAACAGCCTTTATTCTAAAGCCGTGGTTTGTACATCGAATTCCCACATTACTCGTTCTTATGCTTCAGTATACACGCGTAAAAATGAACACAACTGCTTACCTTGGCGAGGCACAGACGAGTGACGAATATGTCATTGGACTCGTTGATTTCCAACAGAATGCCGCGTTTAATGAAATCCATCACTTTCAAGACTTCCTTGGAGTTGTTGTTGACAGCTTGTGGTAGCTCGATCTGTCTGGCAGTAGGAGGTCCGAACAGTCGACTCATCAAAGCCAACTCGAACTTTCGGGCTTCTATCATGTGATTTCCGTGGAATATTCGGATGAACCGTTCACTTTCCGTCGGCTTAGTGTCAGTGGATAATACTTCAGAGCTCCCATAGAATACCCGGATGCGCAAAGCGGAATCTGAAAATACAAATTGAACAATGGTTTTTAACTAACGGCAGGCACGGTACCCTTGTAATTACTCCTAACTGCATTTTAAGAACACTTGGGCAGACCTTTTACCAGATACAATCTTTTGGATCGCATAAAGATAATATGATTATTTTACCCTGCCTGTGGCCTGGAGGGCAGATGAACAATATACTAATCGTGTGGTTAGAGACTTCACTTACCACAGATATCTCCCGCTTGTTTCCCAGGCCTTGCGAACCCTGACCCTGGATTTTCATTTGATTGAGAGATGTTGGTGAGCTGGGAAAAGGGACGTAATACAGATATGAGCTTTTTTTGTAAGATGAATAAATATATCTTATTAACCAAGCGCGAGGGCCGTACTGGGAAAATATCGGCCCGAGGTCTTGACAGTACGGACCGAGCGCAGCGAGGTCCGTACAAAAAAGAGCGAGGGTCGGTATTCTTCCAGTACGGTCCCGAGAAAGCTTGGTTAATAAGAGATTTATTATACGACTGAAGTTCAAAGGGACACAAGTGCGGTATCATTCGGGACCATTCGGGACAGTGCCCGGTCCAATACTTAGAGAATATTGGACCGGCAATAGAGCATTTTGATTGGTTGATTTTAGTTATTGGCCCTCTGACTGCTCGAGTCGTGTAATAAAAATCTTTATAAGTGTGACAATTTACATACCATTCGGCCCATGCTCTCATCCTTATCCGAACAAGTTGGCTCTGCAAAGAAATTGTGTGGAAGGTCAGTTTCAATGATCGGTGCTGCGTAATTTAGCAGTCTTAATTCATCTACTGACACGTTACAGTGGGCGTACTACATCACGACCAGCTCCCAGTTGTCTTATTAGCTCAGCTGGTAGAGCGCTGCAACAGTATCGCAAAGGTCATGTGTTCAAATCGTAGTGTTCATTACTGCAAAGAGGCGCTAGTAAATTAGGGCCTCCTTGCAGGTTACCTTTGGCCTTTTGCTTGAGATATTTCTGATAATAATCTTACCTATTAAGTGTTTATCCAAATTGAAGTGAGTGCTGACAGACGATGATCCATCAGAAGACTAGAAACAAAAGTTGTGGCGTCAGAAACAACAGGTTCGAGCAAGATTTAAGAAACAAGTGAGTGCTTTTAGCAAATGCAAAACAAATCTTCTTTCACTCTGTCTATCAGTCTGCTATAGTGAATACCAAAGAAAAAGACTGAACCTAAACAGTTACACCAAATGTACGTTTCAAAACAGGCTGATCATACCTGCAGCCAGAATTTCACAAGACTTGGATTGGTTGCCATGACATGCTGAAGAAATCCGTTTTCGTGAAATCCGTTTTCGTGAAATCCAACTTGGCCATTAGTTAAGCAAATGGCCTCCAAGATTTCCTTCCTGACGTTGTTGAAATCCAAACTCTCCAATCCAGGAGGGAGTTGCGCAGGTCTGATAAAGTTGTTACTTGCAAAATCTCCACCAAAAAAGGACTGGCCGTTGGAATAAGGAAATTGGAAAGGATTTGATGTTGGTTCGTCGGTGAGCATAGGTTCATAGCCATGGCTCGTTTATGGCGGAATTGTCTGAAAAATTCAATCAATACGGTCATTTGTCTGTCCCGTTCTTGATATGCTAAATAGCCAAGGTTCGCTATGCTAAGCTTTTGGGGCGTGATTGAAAATTGGATCGACAGCGTAACTTTCCAAGGGAAAAGTGAATAAAAATTGCGAAAGGCAGTTTCTTTTTTAGGCTGTTACTAGTTTCGTGAACATTCCTCTTCCTCTTCATTAGTGCAATGACAGTAGAGGGAGAGCCTAGAAAGAGGGAGAGAGAGAGGGAGAGAGATAGGGAAAGCCGAGAGAGAGCCGAGGGAGAGCCGAGGGAGAGCCGAGAGAGAGGAAGAGAGAGAGACAGAGAGAGAGACAGAGAGAGAAAGAGAGAGAGAGAGAGAGGGAGAGAGAGAGAGGGATAGGAAGAGGAGGAAAACTGTCTAAAGAACATGTGACTTATCTTTAATACGCCGATAGATGATCTTTAAAGTAGAGTCTCCACGTCTCAAGTTTAAACATTTGTGTTTTGTTAGATTCTTATCCATATTACTAGTATATGTAGACTGTTAATTAGAATGGTATCTGAGCGAGTTGGTTATTCGACCAGTTTGTGTTTTTTTATAATCCAGTTGGGATGAAGCGTGTTAGGTTTACGCAAGAGAAAAGAAGTGAAATCGACATATCTCGGATAACTTCTTGGTTCTTTCTCCCTGTCCCAATATCTTCTATTGGTTTTTAGTGAGGAGAGAGAAAAACGCGGCTGAGGTGGGGAAAATGTTTAGGAGCAAAGTACGAGAGTGGAAGTCAATTCCACCCACCCTTAAAGGCAAGTTACACGCCACTCTCTCAGC